CACCGCGCGTTCCTGCCTGTTAGCCCTGGTGTAGTCATCAGCCAGGTGAGTGGCTGATGGTCGGTGACTAAGGTGAATTCTCGGCCCTGCAGGTATATCCGGAAATGCCCGACCGCCCACACTGCCGCCAGCCCTTCCCCAATGTATGAGCTATATTGTGCTTCCGCCGGGTTGCAGCTCCTGCTGGCGTAGGCCACCACCTTCTCCACTCCCTCCACCTCCTGGCATAATATTGCCCCCATCCCTTGGCTGCTCCAGTCTGTGTAGAGGATGAAGGCCTGGTCCGGCTGGCAGCCGCAGCACTGTCGCTGTCTTCACGGCTGTCATGAGGTCTTGCAGTGCCTGTCTCTGCTCCTCTCCCCACTCCCATGCCTTGTCCTCCCGCAGCATCCCATTTAGTACTGTCGCTCGTTTGCTGAAGTTCGGCACGAAGCGCCTGTAGTAGCTGAGGAAGCCCAAGACCGCACGCAGCCCTGACTTGTCTCTTGGTTCCCTCAGCCTGTCCAGCACTTGCACCTTCGCTTGCTGGATACCAATCTGCCCCCCTGTGACCTCATACCAAGATACTGCACTGTCCGCTCCCCCCACCTGCACTTGTTGGGATGGCAGGTGAGCCCTGCCCCTTCTATGGCGGTCAAGGTCCTCTCCACGTCCTCCAGGTGCTGCTGTTCGGTCAAGCTGAAAATCACGACATCATCAATATAGCACGCCGTGTGTTCTATTCCCCGCAGCACCGCATCCATGACTCTCTGAAACACCGCCGAGGCGTTCCTCAGACCGAAAGGGCATGTAAAGCCACTCGTACAGCCCATCCGGTCCGTGGAAAGCCGTTTTCTTCACATCCTCCTCTCTGATCTTGATTTGATTGAACCCCTGTCGCAGGTCCAGCGTCGTGAAGAAACACCCCGTCAGCCAGCTTGTCAAAGAGCTCTTCCGCTATCGGCATGGGTATCTATCTGGCACTGTAATTTTGTTGAGATCCCTGTAGTCCCCGCACATCCTCCTACTCAACACCTCGCCTGTCAAGTCCTTCCTGGCTGCCACCACGGTTGGGGTAGCGTATTCTGACTCTGACCTCCTCATCAGTCCGGCTTCCAGTAACTCCTTTATCTTCTCCCTGCAGATCACTTCATCCCCTGGTGGCATCTTCCTCCTGCGGTGGAACACCGGCTCGTCACTACTCAATTTCAGCGCCATCTCTTTGATCTTGCACCTCCCCAACTCCAGCAGTGTGAAGGCGAAGCCCTTCCGATGCCTTGCCAGCAGTGCCCGCATCGCTGCCTTCCCTTCTTCGCTCATGCTCTCACCTATCTTCCACTCTGGCTCCTGTTTCTGCAGGCAGGCCCACACCCCGTGCCTCACCGTTGCCACTGTGTTTTCTCCCTCCTTCAGTCCCCAGTGCAGCACTGTCTCCTTCCACATCCGCTGCACCAACCACCTCATCATGTACCCATCCATGGCATTCCCGAATGCCCGTCTCCGTTCCTTCTCGCTCACGCCTGAGGCTGCTGTCGCGTTCTCCTTGTACCCCATGGCCAGCTCCCTCTCCAAGGCCGTGGGCTCTTCCCACTGTCCCTTCCTGTGGTCATGCACCAATCCTGGGCCTGGCTGCTTCCCATCCATCTGATAGCCTGCTGCCCCCTCATATGACACCAGGTTAGGCAGTGCCTGCCTTTCCTGTCCCACTTGGTTGCAGGGATAATGCCTGATGTAGCCCTTCTTGGTCACTGGTGCTGGCGTTCTTCCTGGCTCCAATATGTCGCTCAGCTTCCGTCCCCCAGCTCTCTGCACCCCTTCTATTTCCTTCTGCAGGTCTTCTACTGGTACCACATTCTGCCAGTACATCCTGAGCCTGTGCGCATATGCTCCCATCCGCGCCGCATCACTGCTCACTCCTTTCCCCACCTGTCTGGTCACTCTCTCCCTCACTAGTCTTATCGGTTCTCTCACGTCTCCCTCCATATCCAAGTGCTCCAGCAGGTAAGCCACTCTGCCTTACCTCGCCTGCATCCACTCCATGACTCTGAACAGATCCTCCATCAGCTGTGTTCGTAGGTCTTGCTCACCCTTGCCCTTCCCTGCCCATGATACCCCTTGGCATTCCCACCCTGCCACCAACAGGTCCACGTGCCCCCAGCTTGCTACCTCAGCTTCCGTAATGGCCCTTACATCGTTCATTCCTCTGCTCATTGCTGCCTTGATCACCTCTCCCTGCAGCAGCTCCGGGAACTCTCTGTGCAACTCCCACGCCTGATGCTCCACTATTTTCCTCACTTCTGGTGCTTTCTCCACGTAAATCCACTGCTTCACTGCAATTCCATTTCGCACCACTGCTGCCAGTCCCGCCCCGATTCCTCCGAACAGCTCCACATGCCGAATGGGTTGCTGCCAATCGGTCTGCTGGCTAGGTTCGTCCATGAAACGCATCCTGGGCTCCCCACCTTGTCCCTTGCCTGTTGCGGCCTTCTGTGCCCCCTGCTTCGCTGTCACCTCCTTCAGATCTGCCCTGTAGCCCTTTTTGGCTCGGTCCTGACAAACTGCACCGGCAGCTGCCCCAGTGGCTCACCCTTCCTCCACCACCTGGTTCTAAACTCCACTGTCTCCTTCCAGAAGCAAATGGTCATGCCCAATGCAAAGATCGTCTCTGTGCCCACCAGGACGTCAAAATCTTCTGACTCTGAGATCCCGCACCTGATTCTAACCGGCGTCTCATGCTTCTCCCCCTTCAGCACCGTCAGTTCTATTGGAGTCCTCGTACAAGGCATCCACTTCGACTCTCCCCCTCTGCTGTCATCACTAGCATCCCCTTCACCACATGCCTGTCAGGTGCCCACAGTCCCAGCTTCTCGGCCATCCCCTTTCCGAGTATCACGCTCTGCGCTCCAGTGTCTATAATAGCCGTCTTAGCCTTCTCCCCTTCCACTGACAGCGCACCACCTTGGATCAGCAGCACGGAAGTCTAACAAGCCAATCTCTTCTGGGGGTGCCGTGCTGCTGTGCATCTCTCCTCCTTCTCCTCCGGCTTCTGTCCTCTCTCCCGCTCCTTTCTCCGCTGCTCCTTCCGTGCATCCTTTCCTCCGCTGCGCAACCCCATTTCCTCTCTTCCTCGCCATGCCATGTATGCTGGTTGCTCCTCATGCTCCATCTCATTCTCTCCTCTCCCGCCCAGACCATGAACGCGGCTTCCTCATCCTGCTCCACATCTTCTTCCTCCTCTTCCTTGGCGTACATCCCCGCCTCAGCTTCCCGTCGTGGTCCCATTGCCTGCAGCTGGGCCTGCAGCCTGCTGATTTGCTTCTCCAGATCTTCTGGTGACTTCTTCGCTGCCCCCTCTCGCTGATAACACTCCTTTGCTGCATGCCCTCCTTTCCCACAGACTTCACACTTCGGTGCCGTTGGACATTCCCGCCGCCGATGCCCTGGCTTGCCACAGGAGTCACAGTTCTTGCAGTCTCGGCGCAAGTGTCCTGGCTGCCCGCATCTGTGGCATGTTCGTGTGTCAGGCCTGGTCTCCCCTCTTCCCGCTGCCCTGTCCTTCTCCTCTGGTATCATGGCCGCAGCCCATGTAGGCCCCCTGCCGCGCTCCGCCTGTCTGGGCCTGTATGCTTCATATTTCCTCTGCGCCAGCTCCATCTTCTCTGCCAGTTCAAACACCTCTTCAAGCATTGTGTCGGCCCCCATCTCATACACCTTCATCCGCAGTCCGCTTCCCAAAGTGCCCTCCAGCCCATCCAGGAATTTACTCACAAGCAGGGCCATGTCTGCGCAAGTCACATCCTCTGCCAGGTTGACCAGCCGGTTATAGTAGGTGAGTAGTGACTCGCCCCGCCCCTTCCTGAAATCTTGGAATTCCCTGACCTTCTCTGCGGTGTGACATGGAAACTGCCGTTTCAGCCGCCTCAGGAATGCTTCAGTAGGGTCTTCCCCGTACCTTCCTGCCCTTTCCAGTAGCTCATCCATCTTCATCCTGTACAATGTCTCCGCCTCCCCTTCCAATGTGTTTGGCAGACTAAGGAAAAAGTCCACCGAGTCCATGCCGCTCCTTTCGCATCTGTACCGCACGTTGCCCACCTGCATCAGGTAGTTCTTCAGCGTGGGGCCCGTGCGCTGATCTCCTGAGAAGCGTGCTGGCACTTCCACTCTCGTGGCCATCACCGTGCTTCCCTTGCCTTCTCCCCACGCCTCGCTCGGCCCTCCTGCTGATCTCCCTGACGCTCCTCTCTCTCTCGCCCGCAGTATCCCTTCCCTCGCCTCTCTAGCCCGTTCTAGGCTGTGCATCAGCCCGCTGCCTTCCTCTCTGCTGCTGCGTTGATCCCGTCCTCCCTCACTGGTACGTCTTCCGTCATGCTGCCAGTACCGATCGGGTGAGTGATACCCTCCGCCGCGCCCCTCATCCCTGCTCTGTTGCCGAAGCTGCGAGCTGTATCCGCCTCCCCGGCTTTCTTCATGTTGCCTGTGCCAGTCGGGCGAGCGCGTCTCGCTTCCCCACCTCTCTCCATGATACCGTTGCAGATCAGGCGAGCGGTAGTCGCCTCCGCGTCTCTCATCACGAGGGTAACGAGGACCTGGAGAGCGCAGCTCCCCCCGCTTCTCCAGTTGTGATACCTCCGCGGATCTGGTGAGCGCACGCTTCCCCCGCGTCCACTGTCCTGGTGTCGCCGTAGCTCTGGCGAGCGGTAGCCGCCTCTGCGCCTTTCTTCCTGCAGCTGCTGCCGTCCTGGCGAGCGGTAGCCGCTTCCGTGCCTCCCATCCTCGTGCGGGAGACGCAGGTCTGGCGAGCGCGCGCCGCCACTGCGTTCCCCGTCACGATTCTGCCGCCGATCAGGCGAGCGCGTACCGCCGCCACGCCCCCCTTCCCAATACATCCGTGGATCTGGCAAGCGCGTGCCTCCGTCGCGTCCCCCATCACGATTCAGCCGAGGCTCTGGCGAGCGCGCACAGCCGCCGCGTCCTCCGTCCCGATTCAGGCGCGTATCAGGCGAACGCGCGCGCGTCGCCACGTCCCTCGTCACGCTGCTGACGCGGATATGAAGAGCGCGCGCCGCCGCCACGCCCCCCTTCCCGATACATCCGTGGATCTGGCGAGCGCGTGCCTACGTCGCGTCCCCCATCACGATTCAGCCGAGGCTCTGGCAAGCGCGCACCGCCGCCGCGTCCTCCGTCCCGATTCAGGCGCGGATCAGGCGAACGCGCGCCGTCGCCACGTCCCTCGTCACCCTGCTGACGCGGATCTGGAGAGCGCGCGCCACCGCCACGCCCCCCTTCCCGATACATCCGTGGATGTGGCGAGCGCGTGCCTCCGTCGCGTCCCCCATCACGATTCAGCCGAGCCTCTGGCAAGCGCGCACCGCCGCCGCGTCCTCCGTCCCGATTCAGGCGCGGATCAGGCGAACGCGCGCCGTCACCACGTCCCTCGTCACGCTGCTGAGGGGATCTGGAGAGCGCGCGCCACTGCCACGCCCCCCGCCGTCACCTTTCTCTCCGTCGCGCGGCAGGTCTCGGGTAGTACCGCCCTTTTCTTCCGCCTCCGCCGTGCTCGGCTCCGCCGCCACGCCCGCCTGCGCGGGATCGTCGTCATCAACTCCAGCGGGCATCTCGCGCTGCTCGCCTGCGCCTTCCTCCTGGGGTTCGTCATCGCCCTTGGTCTCGCCTTCACGATTCGTCTCCCGCACTCGATTCGCCGAGTCGGCCTCGTCTTCTCCATCCACATCAAGATCGCCTTGGCGACCCGAGAAGAGCCCCTCCAGACCTCGCCCGCGACTTCTCTCTTCGCGACGGCGATAGCCTTCCTCCGGCGAGCGGTATGCTCCCGTGTCCTGGCGGTACCCACAACCGCCATCCGCTCCGTGACGCCCGTCCGTCCGCCACGGGTCACTCCCCGTCGTGACGGATCCAGATCCGCCTCTTCCTTCTCAGGCGGAACCTCCCTCCTGGCGATCTGGCGCGAGAGAAACCTGATCCGCGCGAAAGGCCGGCCTCCGCGGCGATCGCTCAGGCCGCCGCGGCGACCTCTCCAGCGAGCGCCCGCGCTCACGTGAGCGTGCGCGCCGCGAGCGATCCGCCTCATGGCGACCATAATTCCTGCCGTAACGCATCTCGTACACATCCATGCTTGTACGCGCACCTTTCTGGTTGTTATGAAAGTGACAGAACTCTCACCTCTAAGGTCCTCCCTGAGTGGTGTGCCACCTGCCTGCTCTGGTAAGGTGACAATAGTCCACTATACGAAAGGATAACAACCAGAAAGCATCAGAGGTGTGTGTGAGAGTGAACTTACCTGACCCTGGCTCGAACCGTGCATTTCTCAATGTGCGGCTCGAGCCTGGGCTGGTTCGTTCTCATTGGTTGCAAGGTTTTCACCCAAGGTGCTCTCCTACCAACTTCGCGTCAATTTCCCAGCTCCCACCTACCTATCCTCGAATTTGCAAACACAACATAGCTACACCTCCACTACACCACCATGATTCTGGCACCTTATATGCACAACCGTGCATATTCGGTGACATTACCTGCGGGCTGCTGTAGTTGCTGAGAACGACCTCGCCTTCAACGCCAGCAAGTCAAAGTCAATCCAAGCCTTCGCTGACGCGGCGGTCGTGTACGGGAAGGCGTACACCCTCCCTACCCCCTACAAGGTATCCGGCCCGCTGCTCGACAAGCTCAAGGAGAGGTGGAAGACAACCGGGTGCATGCTCTCCGTGGATGGGTGGACATGCATCAAATCCCGCGGGATGGTGTGTGTCGTGTCATCGCCCAAAATGACACTGCTCCCGTCATCGTCGACATCGTTGACTCGAAGACCGCCAAAAAAACCGGGGTCTACTTGGCGGGTCTTGTTGAGGGCGCGATGAAGGAGGTGGGGCCTACGCATGTCATCCAAGTCGTGATGGACAACGCCTCTAACAACAAAATCGCCGCCAACAACCTTTGCTCGGCGTATCCCCATGGCGTCTTCACCAACTGCGCCGCCCACTGCCTAGATGTCATGTTGCACGACCTCGGCAACATCCCTGCTGTTAAACGTGTGCTTGGCCAAGTGCACCGCGTGGTGATGATGGTCAAAGGCAGCGCCTCTGCCGTCATCTTGTTCCATGAGCTTTTAGCAAGCCCTCCTTGGTGCGGCCGGGTGCAACGAGATTCGGCACCCAGGTCATCATGCTGGGCAAGTTCCTGGAGGTGAAGAGGGCGTTGAGGGCGGTGGTAATCAGTCAAGAATGGGAGGAGGTGGCGGTGGCACAGACAGAGGAGGGGATGGAGGTTAGGAAGCTCCTCTTGGACGATGTTTTTTGGGACTGTGGGACGGCGGTGCTCCGCCTCATGACTCCGATCTACGTTTTCTTCGAGCCGTTGACACACGGGCTCAAGTCATGGGCCAAATCTATGGCCTCATGCTTGAGGCCACGGTCAAGACAACCGAAGCGGCTGAGGCGGCTGGTAAGTGGGTGGGCTGGATGTTTTCTGATTTGCTGTCAACCCTGTACTTTCTGTTTTGTTCAGTTTGTTTTCTGTTTTGGACATTCTGGTTTTGTGCATTCTGTTTTTTATTCTGTTGTGTACTGTACATTATCTGCTCAATTTCCACCGTGAGCAACCTCCCACTTCATCAGACGGACGGAACTGCTAGCCACGAAGGATAGAAGCACCTTTTTTACCACCATCAAGGCAATCATTGCCAAGAGGTGGGATGCACAGCTACACAACTGCCTGCACGCCATGGGTTGGCTCCTCAACCCCCGTAACTAGTACATGGAGGAGGTCAAAAACGACCCAGAGATTAGGAAAGGGGCGGACGAGGTAATTCAAGCCCGGGGAGGGGATGTCTCACAGCGCAATAACGCTTGCTGCACAGCTGGCTCAGTATCAACAGCTGGCTCAGTATCACAGAGGGGAGGGCCGGCTGGGCTCTGATGATGCCCGTTGGACAGCAAGGACCTTGGTGGAGGGGGGGCGCATGACGGATGCGGAGTGGTGGACCCTGTTTGGTGGGGAGAAGTGCAGGCGCTCCAAGAGCAGGCTGTGATGGTGCTGTCACAGCCAGTCACCTCCTCTGAGGTGGAGCGGTACTGGTCAGCCCTTCAGCGTGTGCAGAGGCGGGACCGGGAACCGCCTCACGGCAAAGAAAATGCCTGACGTGACCATTGTGGCCTTCATCAAGAGGGCCCGTGATGCTTTTGATCAAAAGGCAGCCGTGCGGGCCCGGCTCTATGCTGACCTGGGAAACGGCACGCTCAAGGAAGGGTGTGCCATCATCTCGGCCGAATCGGAGGACGAGGAAGGGGAGGCTGAAGAGGAGTTGAGCATGTGGCCCGACCCGACCCGATTTGGCCGGGCCACACGGGCCCTCGGGTCAGGTCGGGTCGGGCCGACCTCGTGCCAGAATCTTGAAACAGTTGGCCCGACCCGGGCCTACTGACTCGGGTCAAAGGGGACCCGGGGTCGGGTCGGGCCAGGCAGACCCGCCCCCTTAGGGGATGGCTGGGGGTATTCATCACAATGTGTACATTTCTCTGTTATACTTGTTATACGCCACGGATGTAGTGGGGTCGAAGGAAAGTAGAGGTTGTTCTTGAATCTAAGTACCCTAAAAACTACGAAATTGACCTGCGCGAAGTGCTTGCCAGAATCGTATATCTACGAATGTAACTGAAAGTATGTGCATTCGTGGGGGAAAGCCTAAGATAGGAAGTAGTTTAAAGAAAGGTACTTAATACTCTAAGGCCACTAGCTGCTGGGGTGGCGAATGTAAATCAACGGGGAAAATATCCCCTCGATCGATTTACATTTGGGCTAGGGTTTCGGCCCTAGCCCTGTCGAAATCGAGTCGCACACCTTGGTCCGACCCGATTTCGACATTTTAGACCCGATATCGGGTCGGGGCAGGCCCGACCCGAAACCCGGCTCGGCCCGGCCCGAAATAAGCCCTCGGGTCGGGTCTTACCCCGGGTCGGGTCGGGTCGGCCCGTGCGGGGCAGAGATTCAGAAACCTTGACCCGACCCGGGCAAAACCACGGGTCGGGTCGGGTCGGCCCGACCCGAGCGGGGCACCTGCTCAACTCTAGAAGAGGAGGGAAGAACCCGAGGAGGAAGAATACACCATTGATTGGTCGGAGTTTGGGAGCATCGGTAGGAAGAGGAAAGGGAAGGCGGGTGAGTCATCAAAAGGGAAGAAGGGGAAGGGCATCGGTTCATCCAAGGGAAAGGGGAAAGGAAGAGCACGGGATGAGGAGGAGGAAGAGGAGGCGGCAGACAGCAGTGGGGAGGACTGAAGAACCTGCCAGAAAGAATCCCAAGGGACGAGATGCCTGGGATTGCAGCGACGGTTCAAGTGGGGAGGAGGAAGAGGACGAGGAGGAGGACGACAAAGAAGAGGAGGATGAGTAGAGTGAGGGATGGACCACAATATGCCAGGATTGCAGCGACGGTCGAGTGGGGAGGAGGAAGAGGAGGACGACGAGGTGGAGTAGGAAGAATACAAGGAAGGATGAGTAGAGTGTGGGGGGTACTTGCTTAGATATGCATGCATGTATAGTTAGTAAGGGTAGAGGCAGTAATAGTGGACCTTTGCAGGCCTGTTTCTCCTTAGAGTAGGTTATTATCGCCTTCCTTGTCATTGTTGTAGACATTTCAGTAGTTTCTGGATTTTTTTTCGAGCCAAAAACGGCCAACAAAAAAAACAGCTGAAATATGGCCAAATACGCCGTATTATACGACCGAAAAAAAACGGACCGTATCATACAATGGCCGTATTTTTAACCTTGCTTCCCACCCACTTCCCTCTGCTTGCCTCTCCCTCTGCCTGTCTCTCACTCTGCGTGCCTCACCCCAACCAGGTGCACCACCTGTGCCACGCCTGGTTGCAACACCACAACTCCACCGTCCCTGCCACACCCTCACCCGCTGCACTCTCCTCATTCGCTGCTGCCGTGTCAGCAGCTCCTCCCGACCAATCAGACGCCACCGGTGGCAGAGGGGAAAAGCGTCTGGTGCAGCAGCCTAGGGGGAATGAGGAAGCTTCCTGGGAGCTCCCAGTGCGGTTGAATGTGTCTCACGATGCCCTGCTGGCTGCGTGGTGAGTTAAAGTCAGGCGTCACGCTTGAGCTGAATGCCCTCCCACTCTCCCTCTCCCTCTCCCTCTCCCTCTCCCTCTCCCTCTCCCCCTCTCCCTCTCCCTCTCCCTCTCCCTCTCCCTCTCCCTTTCCCTCCCCCTCTCCCTCTCCCTCTCCCTCTCTCTCTCCCTCTCCCTCTCCCTCTCCCTTTCCATCTCCCTCTCTCCCGCTCCCTATTCCTCTCCCTCTCCCTATTCCTCTCCCTCTCCATATTCCTCTCCAACTCCCTCGCCGCCTCCTCTCCTTCCGCTCCAATTCATGCCGGGCAGAGAAAAAACGTGTTGATAGCAGAGAGCACCTCATTGATTTCACATCAGGTTTTGAGGCGCCTCAAGGGCCGTCTCGATCCCCGCTCTCTCTCCCCTCTCTCCTTCCTCTCCTCCAGTGCACGCCTGGCAGAGTCGCACCTTTTGCTAGCAGAGGGCAGTGCCCTGCACTGCGTTCAGCGCATTCAGCTCAACTTACCAAGGTATGTCCCCAATTTCCACCACTTTTTTGCCATTTCCTTTTCTTAACATGCCCGCATTCATTTCCTTTGCTTGCATTCATACCTCCCCCCCGTCTAGGGAGGATGTGCTCCATGCGTTGAGTGCCGACCAGGAGTTGCCTTGGTTGTCAAGGCACCTTGGATGATTGGAGGTTTGGTATGGCAGGCTCACGAACCACATGAAAATTTTATGTTTTGTACATACATTCTCCATTATTGGTGAAAGCCATCTCGGAATGGTAAACCGTTTCTCGTCAACCACTTCACAACGTTGCCGAACTGGCTTCTTTGTTGGACTGGATTCAGGGCTGCGTTCTGTTGGCGCATAGGTTGTGCTTTACCCTAGCAAGAAATCCTCTACAAACGCACTTGAGAAGGAACCAGACCAAATCGTTATTGTGACCCGAACCGCTGGTGCGGAAGTTGTGCGCACATTACCTATGCGTGCGCAAAAGCGCAGAACTGACTGTGCGCTCGGAACATTCTTGGACATTGGTTTTGCTGTTCCACGGCAACTAAAGGGTCGAAGTGGATAGGATAAAGGTTGCAAAGTTGAAGACAATGAAGTCTTTGAGTGACTTGCTAATAATAGTTGAAAGGGAACAAGATAAGCATTGAGTACTCCTTGGTGTCCAAGTTATGTGAGTGGAACAGTGCATATTGTTGGTGATCATCGCGTGAGTTCTGTTTTTGGGCACTCGGGTTCCGTTGTCGCAGGACTGGGTCGCAAGAGTATTTTCAAAATATGTAGGGTAACCCTGTTTTTGCCAATTTTAAGTTCATGAATCTTGAAAATTACCATGCTGTACCCAGGCTTTAAGATACCGTATAATTCCAAGAGGATTAAATAGAAATATAGCTACGGTAGCTACCGTCTCCCCCCGGATATAAGCGCCACCCTAGGATAAGCGCCTGGCGCTTCTAATTGGCATATGGCGCTTATATCCCCTCCTCGATTATAAGCGCACCCCTTGAAAAAACTTGTTTTATTATAAGCGCACGTAAACTTTAAAATTTGAAATGTGTTCAAAAAGCTGTAACGATTTTTACTTTAGCAGGCGGATATGTTGCAGAATCGGTTCCCTTCACATTCGGACCCTGCACTGGATGCGGGTCCAGTCAGCAGGACCTGTCAGGAGCTGGATGTGAGTCAGATTGGGTGTATCGCCCAGCGCGCGGCGAGAATTTCACAGACGATCCCATGTAACTTCGACTCGATTGAAAAGGCAAGCACGAGACCTACAGTTTGGTGTTAAAAGATATAAAAAAATATGTATGTCATTTTATAAACGCCGGCGCTTATAAATTTACTCGATTATAAGCCCACCCCCATGAAAAAAACCTGTTTTATTATTGCCCCCCATGGGGGTATATCCGGGGGGATACGGTATGTATTCTGAGGAGTGTTAGAATGGACTAAGCTACTAGCGGAAGCTTTAGTAGTCTTAGAACTTACTCCTAAAGCCTAGGAATCTTAGGAGCCCACTTGGGCATGAACCATGCTAGAACCAAAGTGATTTCCAAGAAGTGAAGTTCCAACAAGAGAGAACCCTAACCTAGAGGGTTTGGGAGGTGGTCCACTCTATAGAGTGTACATCACAAGTTCTCCCAACCCAACCAATGTATTCTACACTACCATAGTGTAGATGTATCACTACATATGTTTATTGGAGCAACCCGAATTAACCTTAATTCCAACAAGGAGTACATTTCCTTATTGCCAGTGTATCGCAAAACTACAGTAACTGTGACTATTGCCAATCTTGACCGTTGACTTTCAGTGACTGTTGACCTTCGGTTGACTCTCGAGCTACCGAGTGCTATATATGAGCATGAAGCGATACTAGTCAGTAGCACGGCTTCGGTATGAAGTGGTGCGCAATGAGAGAACCTTCGGGAATGCTACAATAACTGTTCGGTTATTCCAACAGGTTTCATAGGCAAAAGGCCTGCGGAACCCAGGTAACATAGTCGGCCGGGCAACCACGTCGACCAGCTGCTTCTCCTCATGCCCGTCGACCACCCAGGTCGACGACCACCACTGGTCAACCACTTCGGGTCGACCACACCCCAGGTCGACCAACATTAAGTCAACCACACACCAAGTCAACCACCTACAAGTCGACCAGCACAGCTGTCAGCCGACCACACCAAGTCGGCTTCCCCAGGCCAACGTCGCCAAGTCGACGTCCTCCCAGGTCGACCTCCCAGGTCGACCTCCCGAAGTCGGCACCTCCCAGAGTTGGCGCCCTTCCCAGGTCGACGTCTTCCCTCGTCGACCACCGGGTTGAAGACGACCGCCGGAGTCCCATAGTCGGCAGCATTGTATTGGCCACGTGCAGTTCGACCAACTCGTCGACGAGCTCGCCCAAGTTGGCGTCGCCCATTACTGCAGGTCGGCTGCACCTTCCGCACACACAACCATGAAGTCGGCTCCGCCCAAGCAAGGACGGAACCAATGCACAACACCCGTTGACACTCCCCTGCCGCGTTCACGCTTGGGCCTCCAACCCACACGACAGCACCACTCGGAGAATAGCTCGTCCGCGTGCACACAACACACAGCACGCCGGTTAATGCACCAGGCGTGTAGAAGGGCACGCCACCTACTACTGCATGCCGTCGTCACCGTCGCCGACGTCGGTCAGGCGCATTTGGCCGATTGCAACGGAGCACCGTTTAAAGGCCCAAAAGTGCAGCGCCTTTGCCAGGAAGTCGGCTGGCTGCTTGGTTGTCGGGATGTACTTTAGCGTGAACTTCCCGCGCTTCACCATGTGCTGCAGCCAAGTATATCACTTCTCCATGTGCTTGAGGTTGCGGAGATAACTTAATCAACGGGAGCTAGACTACAGGCTAGGCACAGGACTAGATTGATCGTAGCGTTCGTTCGTTATTAATTTGCTTGTGCTTGCACAATGGTTCACAGGGGAATTTGGTAAGAGTTTCACTAGCAAAAAGTTCACAACAACGGTACAATGAAGTTCCCAAGGCAAGACTACATCAGAGGACGACTGCTAGCGCAATACGGTCGACCGGGTGGCAGCTCGACTTGGTCGACCGCGCTCCAGCAGTGCAAAGTCACGGCTCGCCAACGCTGCAGGTCGACGGCGTGCCAACAGCGCAAGTCATCGGCGTGCCAGCGTTGCTCCCGCAGCAGCGCACCCGCAGATGATTGGCATGCTGTGCCTCGGCACCTGCACAGCGCACGCACCAAATCGTCCTCGTGCTGACGATTGCTTCTGAGCAGCCACGTCGACCTCGGGATACCACCACTGAGGTCGGTCTCGCCAAAACGACCTGGGCGACCGTCGCACTCCTCTGCAGAACCTCGTCACCCAAGTAACCTGGTCGACCGGACAACCACGTCGACCAGCTGCTCCTACGCGTGCCCGTCGACCACCCGAATCGACGACCACTTCCAGACAACCTCACCAGGTCGACCACACCCTTGCTCGACCACCTCCAGGTCGACGACACTTCTGGTCGACCAGCACACATGTCAGCCAGCCACCCAAGTCGGCTGCCCCAAGTCCGCGTCACGAAGTCGATGCCCTCCACCGGTCGACTTCCCAAGTCGACCACCCGAAGTTGGCGCCTTTCCGAAGTCGGCGCCCTTGCAGTGGCCCCCGTGCAGGTCGACCACTCCCATTGACCAGGTCGCCCACTGCTCCAGGTCGGCTGCAACTCCCACACACCCGACCACAAAATCAGCTCCGCCCAAGCCAGGATGGGGCCAACCACAACTCCCATTGACACTCCCCCGCCGCGTTCACGCTTGGGTCGCCCAGCCCATACGGCAACACTTCTTGGAGAATAGCTCGTTGGCGTGCACCCAATACACAGCACGCCAGTCACCACACTAGCCATGCAAGAGGGCATGGCACCTACTGCTGCACGTCGTCGTAGCCGTCGCCCACGTTGGCCAAGCGCACCTGGCCGATTGGGACGGAGCATTGGTTGAAGGCCGGTAGAGCAGCGCCTTCGTCAGAAAGTCGGCCGGCTGCTCGGTGGTCGTGATGTACTTCAGCGAAACTTCCCGCGCGTCACCATGTGCTGCAGCCAGGCCTTTCGCCGCTCCATGTGCTTGAGGTTTCCCGTCAACCCCATGCCCTCAGAGACCGTGATGGCTGACTTGTTGTCCACCCGGAGGACGGTCGGCTTGCCAGCATCCAGCTGCCGGAATTCAGCCATGAAGAAGAGAATTCAGCGTCCCTCCTTCCTGGCGTCGGTGGCCGCGACGTACTCCGACTCGGTCAACGACAGCGTCACGCAGTTGATGCGCTGGCTCGATCAGGAGACTGAGTCCCCTCCGTAGACGAACACGTAGCCGCACGTGCTCGTCCGGTTCTGGTTGTTGCCAGCGTCGTCGGCACCCACGTAGTCGACTAGCTCCAGTGACGCTGGTCCACCGACGAACTTCAGGGCGGTGTCACGGGTGTTGGCGAGGTAGGCGAGGCAGCGGTCGACCTTACGCCAGTGC